GGGGGGGTGGGATTGGCAGTTGAGGAAAACTACCAGGGGAGGGAGGGGCACACCTCAACAAGGGTACCTGCATAATCAACCTTTGTATACCTAACCCTGAATTGTACCCACATCTTTAAAAAAAAACAAACAAAAAGAACAAATTGAAAAATAATGTCATATGTTAAATATAGACTTTCTTGGTTAAAAGTCACAATTTCAAGCATGGCACTTGGGTTCACCCAGTTTTCCTTGATAAAATTTTAGATACCTTTTTAAAAATTTTACATTTAGCAATTTATAATTGTATATATTTATGGAGTATAAACTTATGTTATGATTTATGGGTACAATGTGGAATAATTAAATCAAGCTAATTAACACATTCATCTCCTCAAATGCTTCTTTTTTGTGGTGAAAACATTTGAAATTTACTGTTAAATGTTAAACAAAATTGTTTCATTGTTGTTTTGTTTTATTTTTTTTTTTTTAGGGACAGAGTCTGGCTCTGTTGCCCAGGCTGGAGTGCAGTGGTACATTCATGGCTCACTGTAGCTCTGAACTCCTTGGATTCAAGCAGTTCTTCTGCCTCAGCCTGCCAAGTAGCTAGGACTATAGACACTAACTACCACACTTGGCTAACGTTTTAAATTTTTTTGTAGAGACAGAGTCTCACTATGTTACACAGGCTGGCCTCAACTTCCTGAGCTCAAACGATTCTCCCACCTCGACCTCCCAAAGTGCTGGGATATAGGTGTGAGCCACCACACCTGCCCTTTCTTAACAATTTTGAAATGTATAATACATTATTATTAACTATATTCACAGTATGCAATAGACCTGAGATTTTATACTCTTTGACCATCATATTACCATTGTCCCCATGCCCACAGTCTCTGTAACCACCATTCTATTCTCTGCTTCTGTGAGTTCAGTTGTGTGGGTTTCCATGTATATGAGGGGGATCCCCCCCAAAACTGGAATTTATTCACTTAAAAAATTGTGTATTTATTCTTACATATTTAAACATCAGCCACCTTCAAAGTACTTTCCATTTGATGCAATACACCTGTCAAGATGCTTTTTCCACTGCCCAAAAGTTTTTGAACTTGTCAATTTTGTTTTTTGGTTTTTTTTTGAGTTGGAGTTTCACTCTGTCGCCCAGACTGGAGTGCAGTGGCCGCTCCCGGCCACCGCAGCCTCAACCTGCTGGGCTCCGGCCATCCTTCCGCCTCAGCCTTCCATGTAGTCGGAATTACAGGCGCGCGCTACCCCTCCCGGCTAATTTTTTAATTTTATTGTAGAGATGAGGTCTTGCCTGCCCAGGCGTGTCTCGAACCCACGGGCTCAGGCAATCCACTCACCTCAGCCTTCCAAAGGCGCGGGATTACAGGTTGAGCCACTTTGCCCAGCGAACTTGTCAATTTTGATGGCTTTTAGTGCTTGTGCCATTTTTTGTTTCACCTCTTCCACATTCGCAAAACATTTCCCTTTGAGGACTTTTTTTTTTAATCAGGGGAAACAAAAAAAAAAGTTGCTTGGGACAAGATCGGGTGAATAGGGAAGTTGGGGTACAGGGATCATGCTGTTTTTTGGGTCAAAAATTGCTGAATACTCAACACAGTGTGGACAGGTACATTTCATGGTAGAAGAACCAGTCACCTGTTTGCCACAACTTGGAATGTTTCTCCTGCAAATTGTGATGCAACCTTCTCAAAAATTCCAGATAAAAACTTTGAATGGCAAAAAATAAAATAAAATAAAATAACTTTGGCTGACCATTTGATCTGGAGGTTGTTCCGAGTGTACTTCAAGGGTCCTGCCCTCCAAAAGATAATTCCAGGGTTTTTTTGGGTCCCCCTCGTACATGAGAACATGCAGTATTTATTATTCTATGCCTGAAACATAATGTTTTCCAGTTCTATCCATGTTGTCACAAATGACACAATTTCTTTCTTTTTTTTAAGGTTGAATAGTATTCTATTGTGTGTATATACCACATTTTCTTTATGTGTTCATCTGTTGATGGACACTTGGGTTGATTCTATAACTTGAGTATTGGGAATAGTGCTTCAGTGAACATGGGAGTGCAGACATCTCTGACAAACTGATATCTTTTGAGTAGATACCCAGAAGTGGGATTGCCAGTTCCTAATGGCAATTCTATTTTTAGTTTTTTGAGGAACCTCTATACAGTTTTCCATAATGGTTGTACTAATTTACTTTCCCACTAATTGTGTCAAGGCTTCCCTTTCTCCACATTCTCACCAGCACTTGTCTTTTGTCTTTTTGATAATCGCCACTCTGACAGGCGTGAGATGATATCTCATAGTTTTAATTTGCATTTCCCTAGTGATTAGCAATGTTGAGCATTTTTTCATATCTGTTGATCATTTGTATGTGTTTTGAGAAATGTCTATTCAAGTCCTTTGCTTTTTTTGTTTTTTTTTTTGGGTCAGAGTTACACTCTGTTGCCCAGGCTGGAGTGTAGTGGCACACTCATGGCCAACAGAGCTTCCTTCCACCTGCTGGGCTCAGGCGATCCTTCTGCCTCAGTCTTCCAAGTAGCTGGGACTACAGATGTGTACCACCATACCTGCTAATTTTTTTGATTTATTATAGAGATGAGGTCTGGTCAAGTTGCCCAGGCTAGTCTTGAACCCCTGGGCTCAGGCAGTCCTCTCACCTCGGCCTTCCAAAGTGCTGGGATTACAGGTGTGAGCCACAACGCCTGGCCCTCTTGGCCATTTTTAATTGCATTTTTTGTTTTCTTGCTGTTGAGTTTTCTAAGTTCCTTATGTGTTTTGAATATTAACCTCTATTGATTTACAGATATTGTCTCCCAAGATATAAGTTGTCTTTTTACACTGTTTCTTGTGCAGTGCAGAAACTTTTAAATTTGATATAATTCCATTTGTTTACTTTTGTTCCCTGTGACTTTAGAGTCAAATTTTTAAAATTGTGCCCCAGACCATTGTCATGTAGCTTTCCCCCTGTGCTTTCTTTTAGTAGTTTTATAATTTCTGGTCTTGCATTTAAGTCTTTAATCTGCTTGAGTTGATTTTTGTATATAATGTGAAATAAGGGCTCCATTTTATTCTTTTTTTTTTTGAGTTGGAGTCTCACTCTGTCGCCCAGACTGGAGTGCAGTGGCACGCTCCCGGCCACTGCAGCCTCGACCTGCTGGGCTCCGGCAATCCTTCCGCCTCAGTCTTCCAAGTAGCTGGAACTACAGGCACGTGCTACCATGCCCAGCTAATTTTTGATTTATTGTAGAGATGAGGTCTCACCAAGTTGCCCAGGCGGGTCTCAAACTCGTGGGCTCAGGCAGTCCACTCATCTCAGTCTCCCAAAAGCACGCGGGATTACAGGCTGAACCACCGAGCCTGGCTCATTTTATTCTTCTACATATATTTTTCTCAGCACGAGAGACTGTCTTTTTCCCATTGATTATTCCTGGCACTTTTGTCAAAAATCAATTAATGGTACATGTGTGGGTTCATTTCTGGCTCTTTATTCTGCTCCATTTTGGGTTTTTTTGCTAATACTATGCTGTTTTAATTACTGTTGCTTTCTAATATGTAGTTTGAAATCAGGTAATGTGATATTTTTAGCTTTCTTTTTGTTCATGATTGCCTTGGCTGTTTGGGGTTTTTTGGTGTGTGTGTGTGGGGCTTCCATATGAATTTTAGGAATTTTCTTTTCTGTTTCAGTGAAATATAACATTGGAATGTTGATAGGGATTGCTGGATGCTTTTTTTTTTTTTGAGTTGGAGTCTCACTCTGTCATCCAGACTGGAGGACAGTGGCATGACCATGGCTGACAATCTTTACCTCCTGGACCTAAGTGATCCTCCTACCTCAGCCTCCCTGGTAGCTGGGACTACATGCACACGCCACCACACCCAGCTAATTTGGGGTTGGGGGTGGTTTGTTGACGTGAGTACTTGCTATGTTGCCTAGGCTTGTCTTGAACTCCTGGACTCAAGCAGTCCTCCTGTCTCGGCTTCCCAAAGTGCTGGAATTACAGGCGTGAGCCACAATGCCCTGCCCTCTCCCCTCCTTCTGAGGCCAGGACAGATAGTGCTCTTTTTGGCAGGGGGTAGGGGATGATATCACTCAATCATCCAGGCTGGAGTGCAGTGCATGATCATAGCTCACTGCAGCTGTGAACTCCTGGGCTCAAGTGATCCTCCTGCCTCAGCCTCCCAAGTCTCTGGGACTACAGGTGTGTGCCAGCACGCTGCCTGATTTTTATTTATTTTTTGTAGAAAGAAACAGGGTTAGCCGGGCTCAGTGGCTCAGCCTGTAATCCCGCGCCTTTGGGAGGCTGAGGTGAGTGGATTGCCTGAGCCCGCGGGTTCAAGACCCGCCTGGGCAGCGAGACCTCATCTCTACAATAAATAAAAAAATCAGCCGGGCATGGTAGCGCATGCCTGTAATTCCGGCTACTCGGAAGGCTGAGGCGGAAGGATCGCCGGAGCCCAGCAGGTCGAGGCTGCGGTGGCCGGGAGCGGCCACTGCACTCCAGTCTGGGCGACAGAGTGAGACTCCAACTCAAAAAAAAAAAAAAAAAAAAAAGAAAGAAACAGGGTTTTTCTTTGTTGCCTAGGCTGGTTTCAAACTCCTGACCTCAAATAATCCTCAGCCTCAGCCTGCCAAAGTATTGGGATTACAGGTGTGAGCAACTGCACCTGGCTAGATCTTTCTTTCTATATATGATGTGGCCTAGGCATACTCACTGTAGCACTTTAGGCAGCTATTACTAACTGATATGAACTGGCACTAAGATGAGCTCTGATTGGCAGCAATGAGAAGTCTGTTTGTCATCCTCAACAGATAGGAGCGAGTACAAGCTCTGTAGTTCAGTACACAAGACTCTTAATGAGTGAGCCTTTATCCTGCCCTTTCCTACTTCCCTGCCCCCAGTCTCTTCCTCAAAACTCAGCCTAAGCATCCCTCTGAAAAAAGCCTTTCAGGATACTCTTTCCCTCCAACCAGATGGGTTTTGATTCTTCTGCTTTGTGTTCAGTAGCACGCTGTGCACAATAGACCTTTGCCATAGTGCTGATCACTCTGCATTGTGGATTAATTCACTTAAATATCTTACCTACTGGACCATAAACTTCTTTAGAGCAGAGACCACGTGTTGGTTTCTCCTTCCACAAGTTTAGTACATAGTTGGGTTATTTGTCTTTTTACTATTGAGTTGTAAGAGTTCTTCATATATTCTGAATTAAAGTTCCTCATCAGACATATGATTTACCAATATTTTCTTCCATTCCTGTGGATTGTCTAAAATTTTCTTGATGGTATTATTTACAGCACAAATGTTTTTGATTTTGATAAAGTCCAATTTTTCTATTTTTTTCTTTGGTCATTAATGCTTTTCTGTTATATCTAAGAAACCACTACCTAAATCCAAGATCATGAAAATGCATTCCTGTGCTTTCTTTTAATAGTTTATAGTTTTATCTCTAACATTTGGGTTTCTAATTCATTTTGATTTAAGTTTTTATGTGGTAGAGATTTGAACGAGTTACAATTTCTTCCTTCTTCAGAGGTAGCAACACTAGAAAACTTCTAAAAAATTAAACATAAAATTTTCTCTCACCCTTTTCCCTGGATTGAGTCTACTGTTCTTACTTCTTACTTAGATGATGATGTAGATGATGTAGCAAGAGGGTGATTTTCAAACTGGTGAAGTTTCTATAGAGAAGGATGTGGAAAGGAGGAATAATGTGATAAACAGATGACACATTTAGATTATGATCAGATCCCAAGCAGTCAGTCTCCCACTATAAACTTGAGTGTGAGCTTGTCTTCTCCATTTCAGAATGGTTTAGAATTGTATGAGGTGTCAGGCTGTCATAGAACCCAGTTTTATGCATCATAGCAGTTGTGACTTGTGGGCAGCAGTGATGGGTTACTTGGTTTTCTCCTCAGGGGTTTCTCTTTTTGGCTTGTCGGCCCTGTTGCTCCCCGGGAACTTTGAATCTTATTTGGAACTCGTGAAGTGCCTGAGTCTGGGGCCAGCTCTGATCCACACAGCAAAGTTTGCCCTCGTCTTCCCTCTCATGTATCATACCTGGAATGGAATCCGACACTTGGTAAGTTAGTTGGAGATTTGTTCATTTTTTAGTTGAAGGGACCGGGGAGGCTGGGAGGATTCTCTCTCTGCTGGGTTTAGTACTGCTGTCTTCAGGGTAGTTGTGACTCAGGATCCTCTTGGGGAGGCTGTTTCTTTGGCAGCCCTCCTGGTGGTGTAGCTGCGCAGTGACTACAGCATGGCAGGTACTTGCAGGACCTCATTGTGAACTCTTCCAGGTTTAAGAGAGATGTTATTATTATTATTATTTTTTTGAGTTGGAGTCTCACTCTGTCGCCCAGAATGGAGTGCAGTGGCCGCTCCCGGCCACCGCAGCCTCAACCTGCTGGGCTCCAGCGATCTTTCCGCCTCAGCCTTCTGAGTAGCCGGAATTACAGGTGCACGCTACCATGCCCAGCTGATTTTTTGATTTATTGTAGAGATGAGGTCTCACTGCCCAGGCGGGTCTCGAACCCGTGAGCTCAGGCAATCCACTCACCTCAGCCTCCCAAAGGCGCGGGATTACAGGCTGAGCCACCAAGCCTGGCTAAGAGAGATGTTATTAAAGGAGACTCTGAAGCCAGGTCATACAACTGGCAGAGAAGGTGTGTATATAGGAAAAATATTAATTGGTACCTATTATGTGTCAGGTACTTTTGTAAGACACTGGGGATTCAATTATGAGCTAGATAAACATGGTTGCTGCTTTCAAGCTAAAATTATTTTTCACGCAGAGTAACCAGTCTCACTGGACCCAAAAGTATTAGCTTTTTGTTATCTAGACCAGTCAGGGACTGGTTTCGTGGAAGGTAATTTTTTCACGGACCCAGAGGCAGGGGTGGTTTCAGGATGATTCAAGCACATTACATTTAGTGTGTACTTTATTTCTATTATTATTACATTGTAATATCTAATGAAATAATTGTACAACTCACCATAACACAGAATCAGTGGGAGCCCTGAGGTTGTTGGGACTAGATGGTCCCATCTGGGGGTGATGGGAGACAGTGACACCCAAAGTGTATTGCTTATGTCCAGTCTACTCTGTAATCTCATTTTGGTTGCTGTCACTACAGAAAACCCTGCTGCACAAAGAGAGGATGTTGAAAATGGAAGCAGGCCTTTCAGTGCCAGTCTAGCAGACAGTAGAGCTCAGGTGGCAATGTGAGCGATGGGAAGCAGCTGTAAATACAGATGAAGCTTCGCTCACTCGCCTGCTGCGCACCTCCTGCTGTGCAGCCCAGTTCTTAACAAGCCATGAACCTGTTCCAGTCTGTGGGCCAGGGGTTGGGGACCCCTATCTAAATATTAGTGATCACTGCTTTTGTTTTGAACTATTGGAGGAATTCAATTAAGATACAAACGGGGGCTGAGTGTGGTGGCTCATGCATGAAATCCCAGCACTTTGGGAGGCTGAGGCGAGAGGATTGCTTGAGCCAAGGAGTTCAAGACCAGCCTGGGCAAATAGCGAGACCTTGTCTCCATTATTTTAAATAAATAAATAAATAACTGGGCACAAAGAATCTCAGGTTTTAGTACTGGGTTTAGGAATCTTTTAGTGGACTGAAAACTGTGTTGCTCCCTATGTGACTTTGGAGTCAGTTCAAAACTATTATCTCTCTTCTCTTTATAAAGGAATTAAAGTTTAATCATGGCTGGGCTTGGTGGTTCACACCTGTATTCCCAGCACTTTGGGAGGACAAGGCAGGAGATTCACTTGAGGCCAGGAGTTCGAGACCAGCTTAGGCAACATAGCAAGACCTCATCTCTACAAAGAAGCCAAAAAAATTAGCTGGGCGTGGTGGCACACACTTGGGAGGCTGAGATGTAAAGATCTCCTGAGCCCAGGAAATCGAGGCTATGGGGAGCCATGGTCATGGCACTGCACTCCAGTCTGGGTGACAGAGTGAGACCCTGACACAAAAAAAGAAAAGAAAGGATTTAAAGCTTAATCAGACCTGCTCCAGGTTAGAGGTCAGTCCTTTCTCCAGCATTTTAAGATTTTATATTTTGTGGTCTTTCTCCCCCTACTCTTGTTTCCTTCCCTAAGAAGGCATTTAAAATTCTATTCTTTATAATTTTTCCATTACTGAGCTAGCTGTTGGATGCTTTTGCCTTAATTTGACCTTTTATAACTCCCACATTGAGAACCTTAGAGATGAACCACTTTCTGGATTTCAGTTCCATCCAGCAGACAGATTAATGGAATGAAAAATGTGGTAGACTAAATGACCTATTAAATTAAGTGTATCAATCAGCTGTTCCCTAGGGCATATTCAATTTGATTTAAAATGACTTTTCACTTCCCTGAGGGGGAGGGGGAGGGAGTGGAGAGGGAGGGTATTTCCCTTAATGACTACTTATTCCACAGAACAAGAAAATCAGCTGATCAGCTTCCTCTGTCCACATCCTGGCTCAGGCAGGGACTTGAGCTATATGTCTGTCTCAATATGGCGGGTGGCAGGGGGAAGGGAAGAAGTTTTATAAAATCTCAAAACTCAGAGCTTTTCTGCCCAGGTTCTTGCCTATGATGGTAATCTTTATGCTGAGAGAATTGAGGAGCCTAAATGCTTTTCTTATGCCCTTAAGTCTGCTTTTATTCTCCTAGCGAGTACTTGCTCTGAGTGTGAGTCAGGATTTTATTTCCTGTGGCAGTCCATAGTTTTTGGCCTCTGAGCTTGATGTTGACTTGCCAGAAGATCTAATGGGGGTGGGTGGGGGAATGGGACTGATGTAAAAGAGTAGGAGTTTAATGGTCTATGACATTTTACAGAAGATTCCCCTACTACCACTACCCAACAGGACTCTACTTTTTGTAAAACACTGTGTTTATGTAAGCAAAGCAACTCTGAGTGGAATCTGCTTGCCTCCTAATCTGATATAGGTAGAAGCTATTTGAGAGTTGAGGTAGGAGCGTCTTCTCTTCTTGATTTATTTTTTCCTCTGGGCTCTCTAGCATTTCTCTGAGGTGACTCCTAATTTAGTCAGTTTTGCATTCAGACTGTAGGCTGAGTGGGTGTTGAGGCAGTCATGTGTATGGAAAGTATGGAATCTGAATCTGAAGGCTTCTTTTGCCCTAAGGGCTCATTTAGTGACTTATAATATGTTAATATCCCTTGAGCCCAAGAGAGTCCAAATTTCTGTTTTTAAAAATGAGTTTTGCCGGGCTCGGTGGCTCAGCCTGTAATCCCATGCCTTTGGGAGGCTGAGGTGAGTGGATTGCCTGAGCCCGCGGGTTCGAGACCCGCCTGGGCAGCGAGACCTCATCTCTACAATAAATCAAAAAAAAAATCAGCCGGGCACAGTAGCGCATGCCTGTAATTCCCGCTACTCAGAATACTCAGAAGGCTGAGGTGGAAGGATCGCCAGAGCCCAGCAGGTCAAGGCTGTGGTGGCCGGGAGCGGCCATTGCACTCCAGTCTGGGCAACAGTGAGACTCCAACTCAAAAAAAAAAAAAATTAAAAAAAAATGAGTTTTGAGTCAATGGGTAGAAAATCAATGTGTTACTACCAATAGAAAAATATTTAGATAGAAAAAAATGCAGCATTCATAAGTAATAGTAAACATTGTTTCATGAACTTTCACTATACTGTATATGCATACGTAATTGGGTTCCAATTTAAAAGATATCTCTTAGTGGGGTCACAGTCAAAACAAAATTAGGCCGGGCACAGTCAGTGGCTCACACCTGTAATCCCAGCACTTTGGGAGGCAAAGGTGAGATGATTGCCTGAGCCCAGGATTCGAGATCAGCCTACGCAACTTGGTGAGACCTTGTCTCTACAGTAAATAAAAAAAAAATTAGCTGGGTGTGCTGGCGCACACCTGTAGTTCCAGCTACTTGGAAGGCTGAGATGGAAAGATCACCTGAGCCCAGCAGGTCAAGGCTGCGGTGGCCGTGAGCATGCTACTGCAGTCTAACCTGGGCAACAGAGTGAGATGCCAACTCAAAATAAAATAAAAACACAAAAATTGAGAAATAGTGTTCTAGATCCCAAAGAGTATTCTTTAGAATACTAGTCCTCTAATGGACATATGTTCCCTCTAAAGAAAGATTCTGTAATTGACTATATCTAGGAAATCATGCATGCTCTCTCCTTTGGTGATTCACAGTGTGCATTGATAAACTGTTTGAAAAGTCCTGCACTTAAATGTTTGCCAGGCTGGGTGCGGTGGCTCACGCCTATAATCCCAGCACTTTGGGAGGCTGAGGTGAGAGGATTGCCTGAGTCCATGGGTTCAAGACCAGCCTGGGCAACTTGGTGAGACCGCATCTCTACAATAGATCAAAAAATTAGCCAGGCATGGTGATGCGTGCCTGTAGTTCCAGCTACTTGGAAGGCTGAGGCGGAAGGATCACCTGAGCCCAGCAGGTCGAGGCTGCGGTGGCCATGAGTGTGCCACTGCACTCTAGCCTGGGTGACAGAGTGAGACTCCAATTTAAAAAAAAAAACATGAGCCAGGCTTGGTGGCTCAGCCTGTAATCCCGTGCCTTTGGAAGGCTGAGGTGAGTGGATTGACTGAGCCCGCGGGTTCGAGACCCGCCTGGGCAACGAGACCTCATCTCTACAATAAATCAAAAAATCAGCCGGGCGTGGTAGCGCATGCCTGTAATTCCGGCTACTTGGAAGGCTGAGGCAGAAGAATCGCCGGAGCCCAGCAGTTCGAGGCTGCGTTGGCCGGGAGTAGCTACTGCACTCCATTCTGGGCGACAGAGTGAGACTCCAACTCAAAAAAAAAAGAAAGTTTGCCAAATTTATTTGACCACAGGACTTTTTCCCCCGTGTCATGCCTTTCGATATTCTGAGAACCTAGTTTTTGGAGAAAGACTCATTGGGAATTGTTGTTCTAGCTAAGTTGTCATGAAGAAAAGTTGTATCTGTTCTAGAAGCTTTTATATACTGTGTACAGGACCTATGGCATTCTAGAGAATGCTCCCCCTACCACTATCACACAAGAGGACTTGATTTTCTGTCATTGGAATAAGTGGGTAATAGGTATCATATTGTGGGTTTTGAGAAGGGTAAAGGTGGGACATGAGTATAGACGTGCTTTTTTTTGGAATCATGCTGAGAGGTGGTGCCTATTCCTGTGGGTACAATTTCTTCCTGAGAAAGGAGCTGTTAGAGTCCTCAATACTGAAATTCTTTTTTTTTTTCCTTACAGATGTGGGATCTAGGAAAAGGCCTGAAGATTCCCCAGCTATACCAGTCTGGAGTGGCTGTTTTAGTTCTTACTGTGTTATCCTCTGTGGGTCTGGCAGCCATGTGAAGAGCTGAAGTCCCGGCATCTTCTTCCTACACATGATTACATTGACCCATCTTCCTGTTTGCCACTTAGTTCCAGCCAGGGAAAAGTTCTCCTTATTTGTTTAGATCCTTTTGTGCTTGCAGGTCCCTTTGGAGCTCAGGAGTGACACCTTGTAGACCACAGTAGTAGCAAAGGGTCTCATTTTCCCCTTATTTCTAAAGATGGAGTGGCTGCAAAAACCCCCTTTTCCTGCCCACAGCTTGCAGTCAACTCTGGGCCCAGGAGTGCTTATTCTCTCCATGTTGGGCTTTGATTTATGCTGAGGGTCAGCTTTTGGTTCCTTCTTCCCGAGACAGTAGAAACAATGCCAGCTCTGTGGCCTCTGTCCTGGGGACCGGGGGTGAGGTTTTGGGTGCCACTGCCTGTGGGTTGCTGACTTAAAGGACAATTCTATTCATTGGTCAAAGCCCAGGCCTTTAACACCTACACAGTGTGACTGAAAGAAGAGATGTGAGGGTGAGGGAAGTTAGCCTGTCTCAGCTTAAGGAAGATAAAGAGGGCTAGGCAGTTCTTGGAACAGGGGATTTGGGGAGAAAATATATAGCTTTTGATACAAAAAGAAGATCCAGAAAATTATCATTAGCATATTAATGGTTCTTTTCTTTGCATTTTTAGAAAAACCTCTTAATTTCATGTTTTCTAATCCATGTTCGATACCATCTTTTTCTGAAACTGAATTAAAATACTAATTTTATCTTTGACTCTCCTTGAAATCCAGAGAAACCAGGAGAATGGCTGTCGGGGAGGAACAAATTTCCTTCCGCTTCCTTGGGTCTCTTGCATTTTCACCTCTCTCCCTTAGCGCTCCCCCCCCCATCTGACCTTTCCCATGAGAGAAACAGTTTGTCCTACAGCTGATCACTGGAAAATTTTTCAGAGAATCAAATATAAGTTATATAGAGATGTAAATATCACAAAAAAGCCTCAGAGAAGGAAGGAGAAAATGAAAGGAAGTTAAAAGCAGAGTACTTTGGGGTTGTTATGGGCTCCAAAATCCCATTAAGAACTGGTGGTAAGCCTTCTGGTATAGTTCAGCAAATTATGATCCAGTAAGGGACAGAGAACCAGTGGAGGTGACAGCAGAGGGATGGTTACCTAGGATATTGATTTAGAGAGAAAGAAGAGTAGAGATAAAACAGAAGAGATTGTTGAAAACCTAGTAAAAATTTATAATTTTTTTTTTTTTGAGTTGGAGTCTCACTCTGTCGCCCAGACTGGAGTGCAGTGGCCACTCCCGGCCACCGCAGCCTCGACCTGCTGGGCTCCGGCAATCCTTCCGCCTCAGCCTTCCAAGTAGCTGGAACTATAGGCGCGCGCTACCACGCCCGGCTAATTTTTGATTTATTGTAGAGATGAGGTCTCGCCAAGTTGCCCAGGCGGATCTCGAACCCACGAGCTCAGGCAATCCACTCACCTCAGCCTCCCAAAGCGTGGGATTACAGGCTGAGCCACTGAGCCCGGCTAAAAATTTATAATTTAATGAGAAAACTTGCTGCTTTTATAATTATAGGCAAACTTCTGGCAGGCATGCTGTTTTGACCATTTTGAGGAACCTAGGGTAAGAGATTTACCTTGTCTGTCACTTTGAGTTGTTGGCCAGCTAGTTTAATCCGTGGGTTGAAGAGCAGTAACAGTGACTAGCTGGTATAAGTTGAACAGGAAGGCCTTGCTTCAGCTAACCCAGTGGGGCCTGCTGCCTCAGCAGTCTGCATCCCAGATCCCAAATAGCCCAAGGTCTTAAGTAACCATTGTTTCTCCCTTTTGCTAGACTGCCCAGGGAAGTTCCTGTGGCCTTTCTCTGGTTTAAACCAGCTGTCCTCTACTTTGTCTTTGGGGTGAGGAACATGAAGAGAACATTTTGATACTGGGATCAGGAACGGCTTAGCAAGGGATTTAAATTTAGAAGCCAATTCCAGGAAGATGCAGAATGGGGTCAATGATAAACAGTTATTGGAGGCTGGAAAAGGATGGGGCTGCTAACTTTTTTGATGGTTTCTTACCATTCAGGTAAGGATACAAGGATAGTAGCTCCTACTTTGGCTTTCCCTACCATTTCTTCCTCGCCTTCTCCAAACACATGTACACATTCTCTGCTAAATGATTCTCCTTTTGATTTTGAAGTTGTAAGTTGTGCATGCTCAGGAGACAGATGAGTGGGTAGAGGTGAGGGGCTGGTTCTGAGTTCTGCCCTTTGCTGTGGTAACCAACCTTCTCTCTGTCTGTTCTTTTCCCTGCTCCATTTCCCCAGCCGTTCTCCTAATTATGTGGGACAAGGGGCAGCCATAGCGGGAGGAGAAAATCCAGATTAGTAAAAGATTCAACCAACAGTGTTTATTTCCCAAATTTGCTTTTACTCCCACCCATATTTCCCTGTTTCACAGTTCTGACTGGAAGAGTCTTGTTTAATTCACTCAATCTCTAGACAGGTTTTTCCAGCATGGCTAATTGGTTCCATCTGAAGGTTTAGGTTTGCATTTCTGGACCTCAGCTAGATTTGGACCTGTACAGTGTTCTAGCTACATGGGCTTCCAGGTGGACTCTTAGGAGATGTGGCTGGACTTTGGGGACCTGGAGTATGACCTGCAGAGGGGTGTGAGCTTTGCAGTTCATCTGAGGAGTTGAGGCTGGCAGCTGGAGAGCGTGGGATTACGGTTGGACTTGGTGCTTGTTGTACAGTCTTTGTGATAGGCTTCTTGAGTTTTTTCCGACTATCTGGATCATGGGGCTGTCAGTGGTAGAGTGGAAGAGACAACTATGTTTCTGGTCAGGCCCAGATCATTCCCAGTGCCCCTCAGAATTCTAACTCCCAGCCGGGCTCGGTGGTTCAGCCTGTAATCCCGTGCTTTGGGAGGCTGAAGTGAGTGGATTGCCGGAGCCCACTGGTTCGAAACCCGCCTGGGCAACTTGGCAAGACCTCATCTCTACAATAAATCAAAAAATTAGCCGCGCTCCTGTAGTCTGGTAGCGTGCTCCTGTAGTTCCAGCTACTTGGAAGGCTAAGGCGGAAGGATCACCAGAGCCCAGCAGGTTGAGGCTGCGGTGACTGGGAGTGGCCACTGTACTCTAGTCTGGGTGACAGAGTAAGACTACAACTCAAAAAAAAAAAAAAAAAAAGCTAACTCCCTTTCTCTCCATACCATGGACATCGGTCAGGTTTCAAATCAGGAGAGTTAAGTTTGATTTCCCTAATCATCCCCCTGGAAATTAGATTATTTTCCACTGAAGAGGGTATGATGACCTTAGCTCATCGCTTCAGGCCCCAGAAGGTAATTAGGGACAAGCTGGGATAAAATGGAATTGGTTAGAGGGTCCCCCTGCTGGGATAGTGGTGGTATAACAAGAGACATTTTTTGAGATTGAAAAGAGATGGAGACAGTGGGGTGTTAAGATTACATGGGAAGAGCAGATACCTTGCCTAAGAGTTCAGGACGCAGCCCGTTGGAGGCCTTGAGTAAGTCGGGATTTTTCTGTATCCATTTGGTGAGGGAGGCAGCACCAGCAGTTGTACGGGAGGTCAGGGTCACCCGAGCAGGGGGTATCTTCAGAGGCATTTGCCAGGTACCCATGAAGGACCCCCAAGGATTCGCCTGAAAAAGGAGAAGGGATTCTTCAATAGGGCTTCTCACCCCCAGTGACTGACCTGTTAGTCTTATTCCATTCTCTACCTTTGGGATTGTGTGATAATGAAACAAGACTGAAAGCACACTCTCCTCGCTCTGTTCCCCCTCACTCATTTGGGTTTTCCTAATTTTCCATTCCCTTCCCAGCTTAAATTCTATGTCCTTAAACTGAGTGTGGCAAAGGAGTATCCACTGCACGAGTAACCACCAGGCATTCTTTTTTACAGATCATCAGTTTAGGAACTTCTGTGTGCCAGACACAGCTCTGTCCTGCTGGACATGCTGGCTGGAAGTTTGAGGGCTCTCACATGAAAACATGAATCAGATGAAACTTGCATTTTTCAGAGAATAGCTGTAGGAGATTGCACGTCTCCCAGTTCTGTGCCTCAGGGCCTGATCCTTGTTGACAGGAATGGAGATGGGTTTCTTACCTTGGAACGGGGCACTGAAGGCAGTAAGTGACCACGATCATTGGCGATGAACTGAGTGTAGCCTTCATGAGAAGAGATTCTCTAAGGGGTACAGGTGGGAGGAAAAGTGCTTGTGAGTGAAAAAAAAGGAAGCATGGTGGGGCTTGGACTAAGGGTGTGGTCACAGAAGAATATGGGAGTTCAGGGAAGGCTAAAAGGAGATGACAGGGAATTACAGAGCATGATGTAAAGAATCAGAAACTGGCCTGGGAGGGGCACTAGACGTGGAGTACCTCTTTTGTTGGTTTGGCGGGAGACCAGTTCTGCAGGTACTTGGGTGAGAAAGCTTTTTCATACTGTGGAGAGAAAGGTAAGACTTCCTGTGGGGCTCAAAGGCCTCAAACCCAGAAAATAACCAGGCACAATTATTTAGATTTAAAGACCAGCCTGTAATCCCAGCTCTTTGGGAGGTGGATGTGAGAGGATTGTCTGAGACTGCAGGTTCGAGAGCAGCCTAGGCAACATGGTGAGATCTAGTCTCTACAATAAATAAAAAAATTAGCCAAGTGTGGTGGCGCATGCCTGTAGCTCCAGCTACTTGGAAAGCTGAAGTGGAAGGATCGCCTGAGCCTAGCATGTCGAGGCTGTGGTGGCTCTGAGTGTGCCACTGTACTCCAGCCTGGGAGACAGAGTGAGAGACTGACTTAAAAAAAAAAGACCAAAGGCCCAAGCAACCATGTAGGTTTTCACTCACTAGAGCAAAGATGTAATTTAGTCTAGCATGGAGCCAGTCGCCACATGTAACTGTTGAGCACTTGAAATGTGGCTAATCCAAATTTAAGGGCTCTCTAAGTAAAAAGTACTCTGGACTTTGAAGATTTGGTGTCAAAAAAAATGTAAAATGTCTGATTATAATTTTTAAAATACTGATAAAATGTTGAGATTTCAGATGTACTAGGATAAATTGAATATATTGTTTAATTTTATTTCTTTTTACTTTCTTTTTTTTTTTTTGAGTTGGAGTCTCACTCTGTCACCCAGACTGGAGTGCAGTGGCCGCTCCCGGTCACCGCAGCCTCGACCTGCTGGACTCTGGCGATCCTTCTGCCTCAGCCTTCCGAGTAGCTGGAACTACAGGTGCACGCTACCACGCCCGGCTCATTTTGATTTATTGTAGAGATGAGGTCTCGCCAAGTTGCCCAGGCGGGTCTCGAACCCGTGGTCTCAGACAATCCACTCACCTCAGCCTCCCAAAGGCGTGGGATTACAGGCTGAGCCACCGAGCTCGGCTTCTTTTTACTTTCTTAATGCTGCTATTAGAAAATCTACAACTACATTTGTGGCTTACACTTTATTGGGCAGTGCCAGTCTAACCAGGGGTTGGTAAACTATGACCCATGGGCCATATCCTTGTGCTGCCTGTTTTGGGGATAGCCTGAGAGCTAAGAATGATTTTTTCTTTCTTTCTTTCTTTTTTTTTTTTTTTTGAGTTAGGATCTCACTCTGTTGCCCAGGCTGGTGTGCAGTGGCATGATCATGGCTTACCACAGCCTCCACCTCCTGGGCTCAGGCAATCCTTGCCCCTCAACCTCCTTCCTGTGTAGCTGGGACCACAGGCATGTGCTACCACTCCTGACTAATATTTTGATTTTTTGTAGAGATGATGTCTTGTTATGTTGCCTAGGCTTATTTGGAACTCCTGGACTCAAGCAATCCTCCTGTCTTGGCCTCCCAAAGTGTGGGATTATAGGTATGAGCCCCTGTGCCTGGCCTCCCAAGTAGCTAGAACTATGGGTACATGCCACCAGGCGCAGCTAATTTTTTAATTTTTTATAGAGATGAGGCCTCCCTGTGTTGCCTAGGCTGGTCTCCTGAGCTCAAGCAGTTCTTCCATCTTGGCCTCACAAGGTACTGGAATTGCAGGTGTGAGCCACCATGCATGACTTTTATAGAGAATATTTGCAGTTGATTTGATAAAAGGGAACACTAACTTTGTGGGGTTTTTTGAGTTAGAGTCTCACTTTGTCACCCAGGTTGGAGTGTAGTGGCATGCTCATGGCCACCGCAGCCTCAAACTGCTGGGCTCAGGCGATCCTTCAGCCTCAGCCTTCCAAGTAGCTGGAACTCAGGCATGCGTCACCATGCTGACTTATTTTTTGATTTATTGTAGAGACAGGTCCCGCCAAGTTGCCCAGGCTGGTCTTGAACCCCTGAACTCAGGCAGTCCTCTCATCTCGGCCTCCCAAAGTGCTGAGATTACAAACTTGAGCCACCATGCCCGGCCTGGAACACCAACTTTGAATCCCAATTATGTGAAATGTTTTCTCACCTCAAAAGAATTCTACTTTTTACATATTACAAAGAATTGCACTTATTATTATTATTATTATTATTAGAGTTGGAGTCTCACTCTGTCCGCCCAGGCTGGAATGCAGTAGCATGCTCAGGGTCACCCCAGCGTCAACCTGCTGGGCTCTGGCGATCCTTCTGCCTCATCCTTCCAAGCAGCCGGAACTATAGACATGTGGTTCCACACTCGGCTAATTTTTAAAAAATTTTTTATTGTAGAGACAAGGTCTCACCAAGTTGCCCAGGCTGGTCTCAAGCCCGTGAGATCAGGCAATCCACTCTCCTCGGCCTCGCAAAGTACTGGGATACAGGCTGAGCCACTGAGCTCAGTCAGTTAATATATTTTGGATTTGTCAAAAATTTCATGGAAAAGTTTTCCATAAATGAACCCTATTATGTAAGTATCTGACTGTCTTTGACTTGGCCTGCAAAGCTTAAAATGTTTATTCTCAACTGGGCTCTGTGGCTCAGCCTTAATCCCGCGCTTTGGTAGGCTTAGGTGAGTGGACTGCCTGAGTCCGCGGGTTCGAGACCCGCCTGAGTAACTTTGCGAGACCTCATCTCTACAATAAATCAAAAAAATTAGCCGGGTGTGGTTGCGCGCGCCTGTAGTTCCAGCTACTTGGAAGGTTAAGGCGGAAGGATCGCGGGAGCCCAGCAGGTGAGGCTGCAGTGGCCGGGAGCGGCCACTGCACTCCAGTCTGGGCGACAGAGTGAGACTCCAACTCAAAAAAAAAAAAAAGTTTATCCTCTGGCTTTTTACAGAAAAAAGAATGCTGACCTCTGGTTTCCACCCTACAAATTCAAACCAGACTTACCCTTTGCTTGCCTCTGGCCTCTATCCTCAGGCTGTGAAATATAGTCTCACCCCACTCTCAGTTATCTATTCAAAGATCAGAATCCAATGAGAGGGGACAGTCCAATGATAGAATCTGGAAAGCAAAAGTCAGTGTAAAGAGATGGAGGATGGGGACTTACCTGGTTGGCGCTGTAGTTAGTGGCCATGATCTTGTGCTGTTTATGCTTGTTGCTAGGCAACCGCAGAAGGCGGCCCTTCTGGGACTGCCTTCCAATCAGCAGAGGTTGCCTTTCCCTTCTACCTATTCACTTCCTTGGCTCACACCGCCCCCGTTCGTTCTCTCTGAAGCAGACTCATTTTCACGTTAGAGGTGTGAGAGAGTGAGTAAATGTGAGAAAGCTGAATAGTGGCCTGTTTTTCTTCTAGAATTAGTTACCCCGGCTTAAGAACTTCTAGGTTACCGAACTCGGTGGCTCAGCCTGTAATCCCAGCACTTTGGGAGGCCGAGGCGAGTGGATTGCCTGAACCCACCGGTTCGAGACCAGCGCGGGCAACTTCTCTACAAGAAATCAGAAACTAGCCGGGAGTGATAGTGCGCCCCTGTAGTTCCGGCTACTTGGAAGTCTGAGGTGGAAGGATTGCCGGAGCCCCGCAGGTCCACGCTGGGATGGCCGTGAGTGTGCCACTGCCCTCCAGCCTGGGCGACGGAGTGAGACAACAACGCAAAAAAAAAAAAAAAAAAAAAAAAAAAAAAGCAGAAAAACAACTTCTAGGTTGTCTTTGAGTGGGATCTTTAATCACTTTAACAAACCATATATACCCAAGAGGTGTTAATTGGGCAGTGTAAACGTGATGTATCACAGAGCCAGATACTGGGGTCTGAGTCCTTACTCAACTGGGAACATGGGAGCTATATGACGTTAAGCAACTGACTTCCCTTCACGAAATTTCAACTCATTTGTATTGGGGATATAGTAGCCTACCTTTAGCAGATGAGATAAAGTGTCTAGGTAATAACAGCATAGTAGGTATTCAATACTGGTGAGATCCTGTGTATAAAGCCCACTACTTCACTTTCTCAGGCAGAATAACAAAGGAACAATGTTTAAAAAGCAACGGGCTCAAATCTGTTTCCCCCCCTCCCCGGAAGGAAAAACGTCTTGTCGTTGATCTTTAAATCTCTCCTGTTTCCTTCACTCTTTAGAATCCAGAGCCTAACAACACAGGTGCTTGGTTTGGGCTGAGATAATTTGGAATCAGGTGCTGGGCCGGAGAGGTCAAGCAGGGATGATGAGAGTAGGTCATAGAGTGGAAAGTACCAGGCTTGTGAAGATTACATGGGGTGCCAGGACACAGGCCTATTATTTGTGGGACTAGACTCCGAGACACGTCTAAAATGGTAATATAATACCCATTGCTAGGTTGTTGGGAGAATTAATTAAAAAGTGGAGCTGTGCTTTGTGAATTGTAAAGTCTATGTATAACAGGTCAAGATGAAAGGGAGGGGAAAAAAACCCCGAAATTGTCCAAAGAAATATATATTGAGTGCAGAAGAATATATAAAGGATAATTGCCAGTCCCTTCTGTTTTCTTTCCCCCTAAGTTTTCATCCCAATCAACACTCCAAGTTTAGGAACACGCCTACACATCTAGGGATGATGTAAAAACAGCTCTTGTTTATAGGCTCTGGAGTTAACGACTAGATAATGTGAGTCCTGGAAAGAGAACTCGTGTGCTTAGTCCCTGTGGTTCTCATCACTCGATAGGATGATGGCAGAGAGGAGTCATTTAAGGATCAAGGACTATCTTGGCTCTAAGATATCCATTTTGGCCCCTAAAGCCAAAATGATAGTTAGGCAGCATTTCTCTTAGAATTTCTGTTTTCAGCTGGTATACTTGCTTCCCTTTGCTTTTCTGATAGGGATGCAATGATATGTGATGAATGTGCTCTTACTTTAAAAAACTAGTTTTTCTTTGAAAAAGTAATGTACATTTAAAAAGTTCCATATTTACAGAAGGTTAATCAACGAAAAGCAAGTCTCCATCTGACTTCAACTCCCGGTCTTGGTCTTCACAGGCAACTACTTTTATTTTTTTCTTGTGTCTCCTTCCAGAAATATTGTATGAATTCAAATATTAATGAGAGCAAGCTGTCCACACTGCTCTGTGATTTGCTTTCTTTTTTTTTTAAATCTTGGAGATTATTTTTTCATGATAGTATAGTATTCCATTTTGGAATGCACCATAGTTGTTTATTCAGACCCATATGTATGACCATTTAGGTCATTAACAATCTTGCTGTTACAGCCATTGCTACAGGGAAGATGTACATATATATCTTTGTGAATATATATTTTTATATAGCTGGGCGTGGTAACGTGCGCCTGTAGTTCCAGCTACTTGGAAGGCTGAGGCGGAAGGATTGCTAGAGCCCAGCAGGTTGAGGCTGCAGTGGCCGGGAGCCACTGAGTGACACAGTGAGACTGAGTGACACAGTGAGACTCCAACTCAAAAAAAAAAAAAATATATATATATATATATATATATATATATATATATGTAGTCTGTAGGATAAGTTTCTAAAAGTGCATTAGAAAGTCAAAAGGGTTTGGGCATTTAAAATGTAAGTCAAATCACTACTCAAAAAATGTTGCTCTGGTTTGCATTTTTAAAAAATTCATGGTACAAAAGTATTTAATAAGTGACACATCAGAACAGAAAAACACAGTTTGTAGCTTATCCTTTAAAACCAAGATAGGCCGGGCTCGGTGGCTCAACCTGTAATCCCAGCACTTTGGGAGGCCGAGGTGAGTGGATTGCCTGAGCCCGCGGATTTGAGACCCGCCTGGGCAACTTGACCTCATCGATACGATAAATCAAAAATTAGCCGGGCGTGGTAGCATGCGCCTGTAGTTCCAGCTACTTGGAAGGCTGAGGCGGAAGGATCGCCGGAGCCCAGCAGGTCGAGGCTGCGGTGTCCGGGAGCAGCCACTGCACTCCAGTCTGGGTGACAGAGTGAGACTCCAACTCAAAAACAAACAAAAAAAACCAAATAAAACCAAGATAGCCAACTGAAAAGTCAGTACAGATTCTTGTTTTTACTTAAAAAAAATCAAAGGTACACATTGGGAATTGAACTTTTTTTTATTTCTAGAGATGACATACATGTTTTCTAGGAAGTAATACTCTGCCAAACATTGCACTAAACCCAAGCAGACAGATGACCAGTAAGGCTGTTTGCTGCCCCCTACTCATGCTGAGCTAGACCAGTGGAACACCATCTTGGAAGGAGACATTAGGACAGGAAGAAGAAATTGCAGAGATCCTGCCAACCCCAATGGAGAACCTGACAAACTGGTTTATACGAAAAGGATCTTCGGCAAACATGCACAAACACACGAACATGCAATAAGAACAGGATACCTTTTAGTCTATTTCCAGCATACATTCATTGGTGCCCCATAAAACAGGCGCGAACTCCAATGCAGAAAGCATTTTTGCCTTCATAGCACTAACAACTAAAAAGCACACACATACTTTGATCTCGGTTTTTGAAAGCAGGATTTATTGAAAGGACAGAAAAGCTTCCAGAGTGGGAGGGAACCCAAGAGGGGTGCCCCATACTTTGATCTTTAAGTGAGTGATCAGGGAAGTTCCGAGATCTTTTATTTCTACTTGATTAGCCTAAATTCTCATCTATTGAAATATTTCTTTTCAAAAATAATGCTTTAAGGAGACTTCTAGAGATGGTGGAACTGCATCAGGACCAGGAGAAGACAGTGACACAAGGACTGCCAATGTTAAAACTAGGAGTTGACTTTCTCAGGCTTTTTAGGTAAAGGACATCTCTCAGTTGAGTCCTACAGCCAAGACAAGCAGTGTTACAGGAGATTGAGAAATCCCAACATGGGCAGCTGGCTTGAGTAACACCTTAGACAAATATCAAAAACCCCATTGAGGCTGAAGGACTGAAGCTCTGACCCATATAAAAAAAAAAAGAGATATGTGTGCACAAAAAGGTTCATGCAAAGCCTGCCGGGACAAAGAGGGTTCGTGATAGTTATTCCACACTTAACACAGTTGATGGGGAAAGGGACCCAGGTGGAATGCTTGACATGCGCTTGCTTTAGAAAAGTCTGACTCAGACGCACCTGAGAGTTGTCTACTTGGGGGGGCGGGGAGTAGGACTAGGGTTACCAAAGCACTCCGCAGGAGTACTAAGGTTAATGAACATTAGAAGGTGTTTCCAGAGAAAGAGGTCCAGGAGGGTTCCGTCATTCTGTTTTTAACCCATCAACGCTTAACAGGAAGGAAGAGTTGCAGGACGGAGTCAGTCTTTCCAAGACGTATTCTTCTATCATCGTTAGCTGCGCTTATTGGCCAGGACATAATAAGGGTCCCATTCCCTGGCTGGAGGCAGGACCCAGTGCCGCAGACGGTTCCGGGAAGCTGGCACAGGAGCTGATTCGCACAATGACGTCACCACTAGACCGCTGCCGAGGTCCAGTCCTTCGCCTTGTTCTGCACTCTAGTCCAGAAACATTTTTTTTTTTGCTCCCGGCCACCGCAGCCTCGCCTGCTGGGGTCCGGCGATGCTTCCGCCTCAGCCTTCCAAGTAGCTGGAACTACAGGCGCGCGCTACCACGCCCGGCTGATTGTTGATTTACCGTCGAGATGCGGTCTCGCCAAGTTGCCCAGGCGGGTCTCGAACCCGCGGGCTCAGGCCGTCCACTCACCTCAGCCTCCCAAAGGCGCGGGATGACAGGCTGAGCCACCGAACCCGGCTGAAACACGTCTTTAAAAGCCAGAAAACCCGTAAATGTGAGCTGCATGCCGAACGTGTCCCCAGCCACTTCCCCTTTCCGCTGCTGGGGAGCGGCTGTGACAGCCGCCACGTGAATCCAGGAGCCCCGCCGGCAGCGGCTCTGCCGCACACGTTTCTGCCAAGGAAACATACTCACTCACACGGGCGGGCAGGTGAGTCTGCTCTCGCGTCTCCACTTTCCTGGTAGCGCCTGTCCGGACGTTCTCCGTAGTGGCAGGACCTCGTCGTCCATGCTAGCGTCCCCCAAACGTCCCGCGGCAGCCTCCAATTGCGCATCGGGAGCGGAGGGGAGGACGGCGCCAAGCCCTCTCCTCCCAGGAGCCGGGGCCACCTCCACACCCACCCAGCGGGCCAGAGCCCGGGGGCTCCCGCCCGCCCCGGCCGCCCCCAGCCTCCGCC